TGGGCTAGAGGCAGAGCAGGGCTGGGGGGCCTGGGCCTGGGCCAGAGTGAGGCTGGGGGGCCTGGGCCAACAGGGCCTGGGCTAGAGGCAGAGCAGGGCTGGGGGGCCTGGGGCCAACAGGGCCTGGGCTAGAGGCAGAGTGGAGATGGGGGGCCTGGGCCAGAGCCAGGACCATCCCCCGACTGACAGTCTTCTCTTCTTTCTGCCTCCCTCCTGCCTTCTTCCCTTGTCTGCCTTCCATCAAAGCATTGGTCACAATGAGGTCATTGGTGTGTGCCGAGTCGGGGCAGATGCGGCCGACGCCCATGGTCGAGAACACTGGGCAGAGATGTTGGCCAATCCCCGAAAGCCTGTGGAGTACTGGCATCAGCTGGTGGAGGTGGGTCCTGGGCCGTGAGGGTGACTGGGAGGGGTGAAGGAGGACCTGGCCTGCTCACTGCCCCACTCCTGTCCCACTGGCCCACAAAGGATGGCTCCAGTCCCCTTCGCTTTCCCTCCCTGGGCCAAACTCATCTGAGACTGTCCAGAAGTACAGCCTGAGGCCTGGAGAGAGAAAGGGGGTCTTCTGTCCTCCAGGCCCCTTGAACATTGTCTAATGGCTCATCACCTCTGCAGGAGTGCCTACTGATCAGTGCCCTGGGGAAACTGAGGCCTGGGGAGGGGAAGAGCCCTTGTCAAGCTCATCCTGTTCCTCCCTGCCCCCAATTCCAACCCTCCTCTGCGGATGGGAAATGGAGAGACAGCAAACCACTGCCTTTGAAGGCAGAGGATGCAGGCTTGAATCAGGTCACCTTGCTGTGTGATCTTCGGGCTGCTCGGCCTCTCTGGGCCTCAGCCTCTTCATCCCTAAAATAGAGGAACTGGACTAATGGTCTCCAAGAGCGCTTCCAGCCCAAACCCTCTGATGTCTGAAGGAGGTGACTGGCCCAGACCACGTGGCAGCCCCCTCAGAAGCCACCCCCTCCCTGGTCTCTCTCCTCAGCTGTGGATGGTGTTTTGCTAGAAAGAGGATAGAAAAGAGGAGAGGCCAAAAGCCCAAGGTTATTGATCACAATGACATTACCCTAAATTAAGAAATGGGGGAGGGGTCTGGATCTGTGATTCCATCACAAGGATCACTGGGGAGTGCCCAGTGTGGAAACTCTTTCTAGTATTGCAGCTCAGCTCCTCCTCTGGAACGTCCTGTGTTCAAAGATTTGCCAAAAATATTAAGACATTGGCTGGCAGTCACACCATAGGCTGGTCACACACAGTCCGGCTGTCTGAAGCAGGATTCAAATCCAGGTCCCTATGATTCCAGGGGCAGCTCTCTGCCCATGCCCCCACTTGTTGCCTCTTAATTTAAACATGATCAGGATCACTGGGCTTTAATTTCCTCCCCCTCCTGATTTGGATTTTCATTTCCAGGAGAAGACGCTCACCAGCTTCACCAAGGGTGCCAAGGGACTGAGTGAGAGAGAAAGCTCAGAGTGAATGGGTGAGCATGGGGTCACCAATGGCGCTGGGGGAGAGGGGAGCCAGGGAGGGAGCAGGAGGGAGAGGGGAGCCAGGGAGGGAGCAAGAGGGAGAGGGGGGCCTGGGAGGGAGCAGGAGGCAGAGGGGGCCAGGGAGGGAGCAGGAGGGAGAGGGAAGAAAGGGGCTTAGGGGGTGGATGCCTGGCACCTGAGGGAAGGGGGAGTGACTGAGCAGACTCCTCTTCACTTCTCTCCACCAGGTCTGGCCCTTTAGGCTCTCACACTCCCCGCAGAGAATTCATCTCCTCAAAGCCATACGGACTAGCTGTCCAATGCTGGGGAAGGAGGGAGGCTCCAGGCTGCTCACCCCTTCCCTCTCCCCCTCCCTCCCAGCCAGGGACTTGGGGCTCCGAGGAGGCCGAGGCCTGTGGGTCTGTGCCATGTACGAGGGGGAACCTGGTCCCAGCCCCAGTGTATCTGTCCTCCCCAACCTTGGGCTCCCCTCTCAGGAAGGGGCTGTGCATGTCGAAGGTCCTGGGGGACCCCTCCCCCTTTGTCTAACCTCCTGCCCCAGTATTCGTCCAGGACCTGTCCTCACATCCCTCCCCCTTCGTACTGCTGTGAACGTCCACCATGGGCTTCCCCTCCTGGTATCTGCCCCTCCCGTGCCCAGCCTGTGTGAATGTCGCAGCCCACCCCTGCAGGCAGGCCTGTCCCGCGTCTGAGCCCGGGCGATGTCCAGGCTGGCCTCCTCGTGCCCAGCTCCTCGTGTGTCCTGTTCCATGTCTCTGGCCTCCCTCACTGCTGCTGCTAACACCAGAATAAACACACCGTGGGTCTGTCACCCTGCCCAGACCAGTGTCATCTGTGGAGGCCAGGCATGAAGGACAGGCAGGGTGACCTCTTCCAAAGTCCCTCCCTTTATTTCCCCAGCCATCTCCTTCTGAGGTGTACAAATAGGTGTGAACTCTGTTTAAAAAAATATCTCTTGGTTTCTTTCTCTCAGCTGGGAGTTACTGAAGATTATAGAGCAGGGGAGTGACATGGTGTGATCTGCACTCTGACAGCTGTGTGCAGGATGGGCTGGAGAGGGAGAAACCGGAGGCTGATGTCTCACTTGGTGTCTATCTCTCGCCTCATTTCTCTGAGCCTCCCCCTCTATGGATGTGTACAGGGAGGGTCTCCCGACAAATATCTGTCTAGCTGCCCTAGGACTGCCACTGCATTTAGCCTGCTCCAATGCTCCAGCTCTCCAAATCAAACCAAGAAGCATTTATTGAGCACCTACTGCATTCCAGGTACTGTGCTAAGCACTGGAAATGGCAAGCAATAGCAGAAACAATTCCTGCCCTTGAGGAGCTTACAGTCTAAAGGGGGAGACAGCGTGCGAACAAGTACGTTTGAGCTTTGCAGGGTGAACCAGAGCAATTGACCGAGGGAAGGCACCAGCAGAAGGCAGGGCTTTAGCTGAGAGCTGCAGGAAGCCAGGGAAGGCCGGAGGCAGACATGGGGAGGGAGAGAGTTCCAGGCACGAGGGAAATGGAGGCGATTTCATGGCTGATGGGAACGCGGTCGGCATGGGGGGGAGATCGTGTCCTGTTCCAGGAGCACCCAGGAGGCCGGTGTCCCTGAACCGAGGAGAACACCTTGGGGAGTGAGGTGTAAGAAGCCAGGAAAGGTAGGAGGGGGCTACGTCAGGAAGGGCTTTGAATGCCAAACACAGCGTGCTGTATTTGTTCATGGAGGCCATGGGGAGCCACAGCAGTTTACTGAGTAGGCTGCTGTTGTGCTTTAGGAAAATCCCTTTGGTGGCTGGAGGATGGATTGGAGTGGGGAGAGACTGGAGGCAGGCAGATCCCCCAGCAACCATTGCAGTAGGCCAGGTGCGCGGCGAGGACGCCCTATACCAGTATGGGGGTGCATTTGGGAGGGAGGGCAGAGGCGAAGCCGACAGGCACCAGCCTGGATATGGGGCGGGGGAGTGAGCAGGCCAGGATGACGTCTAGGCTGTGGGCCAGGGGACCGGGAGGAAGGTGGGGAGGCCCTCTACAGTAAGAGGGAAGACAGCAACGCGGGCGGGGAAAATGGGCTCAGTTTGGGTGCATCCAGTCTTAGATGGAGTCCAATCAATGCTTATGGATTGAGAGCAAGTAGACATACAGTTGAAGATGTCCAATAGGCAGTTCACCAGGCTCCATTCAATCTGATGCACAATTAAGCACTTACTGTATACTTTCAGTAAAAGTAGCCAGGAAGGAGGGGGAGGGGTACAGTTCACATGTCAGAAATTCAGGAAGCTGAGGCCTTAAGGCCTGGCTGGTACATGGTCCCCGGTATCCTGGGTGTGGGGGCCTCCACACAACTTTCTGCTGCCTCGACTGCCATGAGAGGCACTGGGATATGGATAAAGCGGGGGAAACCTGGGCCAGGCACCACACCTGCCTGCCTCAGCGACCCCATCTGTGCCCCATCACCCAGGTCCCCTGCGGCTCTCTGGCCCTACACGCCTGCCTCCTTGCGGTCTCTGTGGCTGCTTCTTGGGTCCTCAGTCTGCTCTCCCTGAGTCTTTTCCTGTCTCTCTCAGTCTCTTTCTCTCTCGGTCTCTTCCTGTCTCTCTGTCTCTCTCAATGTCTTTCTCTCTTAGTCTCTTCCTGTCTCAGTGTCTTTCTCTCTTGGTCTCCTCCTGTCTCTCTCTTGGTCTCTTCCTGTCTCTCTCAGTCTCTTTCTCTCTTGGTCTCTTCCTGTCTCTCAGTCTCTCTCAGTCTCTTTCTCTCTTGGTCTCTTCATCTCTTCTTGTCTCTCTCAGTCTCTTTCTCTCTTAGTCTCTTCCTGTCTCTCTGTATCTCTCAGTCTCTATCTTGGTCTCTTCCTGTCTCTCTCAGTCTCTTTCTCTCTTGGTCTCTTCCTGTCTCTCCCAGTCTCTTTCTTAGTCTCTTCCTGTCTCTCTGTCTCTCTGTATCTTTCTCTCTTGGTTTCTTCCTGTCTCTCTCAGTCTCTTTCTCTCTTGGTCTCTTCTTGTCTCTCTCTTGGTCTCTTCCTGTCTCTCTGTCTCTCTCAGTATCTCTCTCTCTCTTGGTCTCTTCCTGTCTCTCTCAGTCTCTTTCTCTCTTGGTCTCTTTCTGTCTCTCTCTGTCTCTTCCTGTCTCTCTCAGTCTCTTTCTCTCTTAGTCTCTTCCTGTCTCTCTCAGTCTCTCTCTTGGTCTCTTCCTGTCTCTCTCAGTCTCTTTCTCTCTTGGTCTCTTCTTGTCTCTCTCTTGGTCTCTTCCTGTCTCTCTGTCTCTCTCAGTCTCTTTCTCTTAGTCTCTTCCTGTCTCTCTCAGTCTCTCTCTTGGTCTCTTCCTGTCTCTCTCAGTGTCTCTCTTGGTCTCTTCCTGTCTCTCTCTCTCTCTCTCTTGGTCTCTTCCTGTCTCCATCAGTCTCTTTCTCTCTTAGTCTCTTCTTGTCTCTGTCTTGGTCTCTTCCTGTCTCTCTGTCTCTTCTTGTCTCTGTCTTGGTCGCTTCCTGTCTCTCTTGATCTCTTCCTGTCTCTCTCCCTGTGCATGTCTCTCCCGCCAGGTCTCTGGCTCTCTCTCGCTGTAAGTCTCTGTCCTCCTGAATCTCTGGTCTCCCACTGAGGCTTGGCTTCATTGTTTCTGCGTGGCTGGCGGACCCGCAGCCCCTGAGTGGGAGCCCTAGCCCCGCCCTGCCCTCCTCCCGCTGGCCCTGCCCCCTACGTGGCCACGCCCCTCACGCCTTCTGCTCCCTTTCCTCCCTCCCTCCCTCTGTTGGCCAAGGCTTTGAGGTCCTCTAGCTTCCAGTTGAGTTGAATCCTCGCGGGCGAGGCGTGGCCAATCAGGCCGCGAGGCGGCTCAACGTCCGCCCCCGGGGTCTCCGCGCGGGCTAAGGGTTGGCAGCCGCGTAGAACGAGAGAAAGCAGAAATCCTTGGAGCCAAACGGACAGCCAATCAGGAAGCTCGAGGCCTAGGTGACGTCACGAGTTGCTGAGCGGTTCCAAGGGCCACGCGCCACCTGGCGCCTCGCGCCGCAGTCTAACGGCCTCAGCGCATGCGGTGCTGGCACTAGTCATAAGAGGCAGGAAGGGAGAGTTCCTTTGAGCCGAGGAACGGTTAGCCAATCACGCAGCTCACTTTCTGGATGACGTCACCAGTTGTTGAGTGAAGCGGGACCACTTGTCTCTGAGCTTCTGTCTCGACTTCCGAATGCTTGCCAAGAGGAAGGTGTGTGTGGGAGGTGTTGGAAAGAGAGTGGAAATCCTATGGTCCGGAGCATGTTCGCCAATCGAAACTCGTAGAGCTCCATGACGTCACTGGTCGCCAAGCAGATCCAATGTCCGGGCTCCAGCAAGCGCGAACGTGAGAACGCATGCGTGCCGTGGGTGAAGAAAAAAAGGCGGGAACGGAAGTAGGGCAAGAACGGCGATTGAGAGGAGCCCCAATATAGCGGGGGGGGTGAGGTGCGGAGAGCGGAGGCAGAGACGTCACAGGGATGTCACAGAAACAGAGATACAGAGAGAGAAAACACAGGGAAAGACGGAGAGACAGAGAGGTCACAGGGACAGAGACAGACAGAGATGTCACAGGGACAGAGAGACAGAGAGAGACAACACAGGGAAAGAGGGAGAGACAGAGACGTCACAGGGACAGAGAGAGAGAGACAGAGACATCACAGAGAGAGAGACACGGAGAGAGACAACACAGGGAAAGAGGGGGAGACAGAGACATCACAGGGACAGAGACACAGAGAGAGACAACACAGGGAAAGAGGGAGAGACAGAGACATCACAGGGACAGAGACAGAGAGACAGAGACATCACAGAGAGAGAGACACAGAGAGAGACAACACAGGGAAAGAGGGGGAGACAGAGACATCACAGGGACAGAGACACAGAGAGAGACAACACAGGGAAAGAGGGAGAGACAGAGACATCACAGGGACAGAGACAGAGAGAGACAACACAGGGAAAGACACACAGAGACAGAGACGTTACAGGGACAGAAACAGAGATGTCAGAGAGACAGAGACATCACAGGGACAGAGACAGAGAGACAACACAGGGAAAGAGAGGGAGACAGAGACGTCACAGGGACAGAGACAGGGAGACAGAGACGTCACAGGGACAGAGACACGGAGAGAGACAACACAGGGAAAGAGGGAGAGACAGAGACATCACAGGGACAGAGACACAGAGAGAGACAACACAGGGAAAGAGGGGGAGACAGAGACATCACAGGGACAGAGACACAGAGAGAGACAACACAGGGAAAGCGGGAGAGACAGAGACGTCACAGGGACAGAGACAGAGACAGAGAGACAACACAGGGAAAGACACGGAGAGACAGAGACATCACAGAGACAGAGAGACAGAGATGTCACAGGGACAGAGACACAGAGAGACAACACAGGGAAAAAGGGGGAGACAGAGACATCACAGGGACAGAGGCAGAGAGACAGAGACACAGAGACATCACAGGGACAGAGACAGAGAGACGGAGATGTCACACAAACAGAGATACAGAGAGAGACAACACGGAAAGAGGGAGAGATAGAGAGGTCACAGGGACAGAGACAGAGACGTCACAGGGACAGAGACAGGGAGACAGAGACATCACAAGGACAGAGACAGGGAGACAGAGACGTCACAAGGACAGAGACAGAGAGACAGATGTCATAGAGACAGAGACACAGAGAGAGACAACACAGGGAAAGACAGAGAGAGACAGAGAGGTCACAGAGACAGAGAGACAGAGACGTCATAGGGACAGAGACAGAGACACAGAGATGTCACAGGGACAGAGACAGACAGAGATGTCACAGGGCCAGACACAGAGAGACAACACAGGGAAAGACAGAGATGTCACAGAGACAGAGACAGAGACAGATATGTCACAGGGACAGAGACGTCACAGACAGAGAGACAGACGAAGACAGAGACATGGAAAGAGACAGAGATTTAGACAGAGACAGAGACGTCACAGAGACAGAGAGAGACAGGCTTGAAGACAGAGACCTGGACAAAGGGACAGAGACAGAGAGACAGAGACAGGGAGACAGAGAGATAAAGACCTGGACAGAGAAACAGGATGGGAGACAGAAATAGAGACATCACGGGGACAGAGAGAGACAAAGACCTGGACACAGAGACATAGAGACAGGCGGAGTCTGGAAGACAGAGACATGAAAAGAGAGACAGAGACCTGGGCAGAGATGGACAGAGGCTGAAAGACAGAGGCGTTGACAAGGAGATAGAGAAGGGACAAACTGAGATATGGAAACAGAGACATTGGTAGACAGAGATGACAGAGATAACCACTGATGAGAACACGGGGCTGAAGTCAGAGAGGCAGGTGCTGGGATGGAGCCCTGGGAGACTGAGAGGTAGAGACATCAATGGGGAGGTGGAGACAGACAAACAGGGGCTGAGATAAAAGACAGACAGAGACAGATACTAAGATGAACAGAACCACGTGGAGAAAGGGAGAGAAGCAAAGCTGAAGAGAGAACTCCAGGAAGAGGGGCCAGGGCTGGTGGGCAAGATGGGAGACCAAGAGATAGCGCTGACCCCAGGGACCCCAGGAGGGGAGGGGATGGTGATGAAGATCGAGAGACTGGAGGAGGGCAATCCAAGTAGAGAGATGGGGAGAGAGACAGGGAGACCGGCTGAGGGAAGGTGACAGAGACAGGGAGGAGACACACAGACAGACGTGAAGGTAGGGAGGGGAGAGAAAGACGCCGAGACAGCGAGGAACACTGAGGGTGATGGATGGACACAGGGACGGGTAGAGGGGGTCGGGAGTGGCCACAGAGATGGAGACAAGGAAAAGGCAGCAAGGCAGAGATGGGGTAAGTGCCCCAGAGACTCTAGAGGTACAGGGAGAGACAGAGCAGGGAGATGGTGGCTTAGAGACAGAGAGAGAGCTGCAGAATTGCGGGTGGGCGGGGGGGGGGACAGAAAATCTATCAAAGAGAAACTGACCCAGTTCCACCAAAGACAGAGGTGGTCACAGGAGAGATACTCAGGGAGGGAAGAATGAGCCTGAACAGAGCCCGAGGACGCAGTCAGAGAAAGTCAGTCACCAAGAGACAGTTGCTGAGAGAGACGAGAATCCAACCCTGAAACCCTCCGAGGCAGAGGCAGCAGCAGAGCCTTGGCTAGTGTTTGCCCACCAGAGCTGGGCTTGGCCTGGCTTGTGGTTGGATTCTCTCTTCACGGGGGGAGCAGTCCTCCTCCCCGTCCCGCCAAAGGACCAAGCTGGGGGAGTGGGGGAGATCAGTGCTAGGGGTTTGAGTCAGGCTGTTTGAGCTAGAAGATTGATGAGTCCAGCCTCTTTATTTTACAGGGAAGGAAACCGAGGCCGTCTGTGTTCTGGAGTCCCTTCCAACTCTAACAGTCTCTAAGTCTGTGACTGAGAGCCGCCAAAATCAGGCTGTGGTTGAACATTCACCTGCCTGATTTCTTTCTTCCTCAGCCCAGCCTCCCAGGCTTCCTCCAAATGGGTCTGGGACTCCTGTTTCCTATGCTTCCACTAGAAAATCTGCTTTGTTAGTCACATATCTACTCAGGCTTTTGGATACATCTACACCACTTTGCCCCTTGTTAGCTATTGAACAGTTAATTTCCAATTGCTGATTCCCTTTCTCAGGTCTGTGCTTGAGGCTGAGCACAGCTAGATTTCTGCATTCCTGCCAGATGTGAGCCTCTACAGCACTTTTGACTTCTCAGAGAGCTTCCGTGGACAATTCTTATTGTATTTGGTCCCCAGGGCAGCTCTGGGAGGGGTCGAGGGCAAGTGCCCTTAGCTCTGTTTTACAGGGGAAGGGACGGGGGCCCCAGTGTCATACAGCTAGTTGGTTCAAGGGGTTCAATGACCGACTACTCAGAGGAGAATTTGTTTCATGCCAGACTAGATCCTCTCCATAATTCTGAGATAGTGAAAATCTCAGTCACACAGCTAGTATGGCAATGTGAACCCAAATCTTCTGACTCCAGGTCTTGATGAAAATTCCATGATTCTTAGTGCAGCATTCTCCCTCCCCAAGAATCATGGAGCCTCAGTGGGAAAGGACATGTGAGGCAGATGATTGGATCATAAGATTGAGGGAAGGAAGGAACCTTTGAAATTGTTGAGATCAACCCTTTTATTTTTATAAATGAAGAAAGGGGCCCAGACAGGTGCAAGGATGTGTCTAAGATCACATGGTCTGTCACGGGGAGCCAGGATTTAAGGGCTCTTCCCACTGGATTGCGTCTTATGTGACTTCCCCTCTGATACAACATGCAATCCCAGGATCTCTACCAGAAAAAAACTTTTCCTCCGCGTGGGGGGAAATTGGAGCCACAATTATTTTGTGACATCTTGATAGACGGTGACCTAGCATTAGAAAGTCCCCAACCCCTTTTCGAGGACCTGGTAAGAGAGGATGGTGTCATTCACTATGGTACAAACTATTTGCTGGCTTTCGATAAGAGACCCTGTGTAGCTTCGTCTAAACAGACTGCTCTCAGAATCGTATCTGGCCTCTTTCTCTTGTCTCCTGCCCCTGAATAGGGAATGTTTTCTCATCATAAATCCTACCAGCTCGGTTCCAAATAGTCCCCTCTTCTCCCGTAATTGATCCCTCTCTTTCTCTGCCCCTCCCTCGCCTGTGAAAGGCTTCCTTTTTCTGTCTTAAGGCGCTGAAGAATGTTCTGATTGGATATGAACCCTAAGAGAACCTGAAAAGTTAAAAAGAGCAAATCTGTGTCCCAGGAATTAGAATTTGCTATCAGCAAGAGTCTTTAGTATGCTAATGAATCTCTTTATCTCACTCTGGCCTCCTATCTTTGACCTGCCATCATCAGACCCCAACTGTAGAGGTGCTGCCTCTCCCCAAAACTCGAGAGAATTCTATGACAGCCATCTCATCCAACTCTTCAGGAGAGGAGGGGAAAGGAGAGGGGAGGAGAGGAGAGGAAGGGAGAGGAAGGGAGGAGAGAGAATGAGAGGAGGGGGGAGGGGAGAGGAGGGGAGAGAGGAGAGAGAGAGAGGAAGGGAAAGGAAGAGAGGGGAGGAAAGGGGAGAGGAGAGGAGGGGAGGAGAGGAGAGGAAGGGAGAGAAAGGGAAGGGAGGAGAGGAGAGGGAATGAGGGGAGGGGAGAAGAGGGGAGAGGAGGGGAGAAGAAAGGTAGATTAAGGTGGATTGTAAAGGTGCAGTGAGCTGGCTGAGGTCACATAGGAGTGAAAGAGCTGGGGTTAGGAGCCAGGTCTCCTGATAGTGCCAGTCTACCACATTGTCTTTGATGAAACCATCCGCGAGGGCCTGTGTGTGTGTGTGTGTGTGTGTGTGTGTGTGTGTGTGTGTGTGTACCTAGTTGGGAAAAGTCAGCTGGTACTGTATAAGTCGCAGCTCAGAAAGGCCTCCGAGGTTTAATGATGACATCCAGCATTTATGTGGCAAAGTGCTTCACAAATATTATCTCAGTTGGTCCTCATAACAACCCCAGGAGGGAGGTGCTGTTATGGATCCCCAGTTTACAAATGAGGAACTGAGGCAGAGAGAGGTTAAGTGACTTGCCCAGGGTCACACAGCTAGTAAGTGTTTTGAGTGGATTTGAACCCAGGTCTTCCTGACTCCAGGCCCAGCCTCTGCATGGCTATGCTAAGTATCTAGCCCAAATCCCTCAAGAATCACCTTCTACAAGTAGCCATCCAACTCTAGCTTTCATAACTCAATTCAGTTTTTAAGATGTTCATTAAACTCTGATGTTAAGTGCTTACTGTGTGCCAAACACCATGCTGAAAGCTTTGCAAATATGATTTCATGTGATCCTCACAACCGCCCGGGGAGGTGCTGCTATTATTGTCCCCATTTTCCAGATGAGGAAATTGAGGCAGAGGTAAAGGGAATCAATCAATACTATATAGTCAGTAAGTGTCTGAGGCTGCATTTGAACTCAAGTCCTGACTTCAAACATTTATTAAGCTCTTACAACATGCCAGACAATTTGCCACATGCTGGGAGTACCACAAAAGGGCAAAAACATGGTCCCCGCCCTTAAGGAGCTCATGGTCTAAGGGCAGAGACAACATGCGGACACCTCCATGCATACAAATGATGTTAGACACAAATGCGAGGTTATCTCAGAGGGAAGTGGCTAGCTGTAGGAGGTGGAGGGAGAGCTTGGTCAGCACTGGGATCTGAGCTGAGTCTTGAGGGAAACTGGGAGGGGGAGGGAGGAGGGGACACAGCAGTCAGGTGATGGAGCATGCTGTGGGAGAAATCCAGTGTCACCAGATCATAGCATTGGTGGTGGAGAGCAAGAGGAGAAGGAAATGGCAAAGCACTCCAGTATCTTGGCCAAGAATACCCCAAATGGAGTCACCAAGAGCTGGACCCAGCTGAAACGGCCGAACAGCAATGACCAAAGGTGTAGAGGGACTGGAAAGACGGGAAGGGCCAGGTGGGCTGTGAAGGGCTTCCCAAGCGAAGCAGAGGATTTTCTGTTTGATCCTGGAGCTCGGGAAAGGGGGCAGAAGGAGTGACGGCGGTCAGTGCTGGGCTTCTGGCAGCTGAGTGTACAGTCGTCTGGAGCAGGATGAGATTTAAGGCCAGGAGACCCAGCAGCAGGCTGTGGCCCAAGTGTAAGCCAATGAGGTCCTGCAACAGGGAAGTGACCCCCTTGCTTGCTGCTAGATGAAAGGCTATGCAGACCCTGCTCTGGAGGAATTCATGACCTGATGGGGTGTCTCAGATACGCCCACAAGTCAGTATGATACAGGGGAGAATGTGATAGGGGAGAACTAGAGACCCAGGCAAAATGATCTGAAGGCAAGGGAAAGACTCCTTCCTTCCAAGGGAGTCAGGGAAGACTTTCTGGAGAACAAGTACCTGAGCCCTGCCTTGAAGGAAAAGGAGGATTTCAACAGAGAGGAGAAAGGAAGAATCAGCTGGTGCAAATATGTGGAGGTGAGAGAGTGAGGGGTAAGACTGGGAAATAGCTAAGAGTCCAATTTAACTACCATAGGCTATGTGAAGGGGAACCATGTGAGCCCAGGTCTTCCTGAGAGCTTCTCTCTCACCTGGCATGGTTCTCATAAAATACTGGTGGACACTTACTATATACATGCAGGATCCCACGTGTAGAAGAGGTAGATATAAATCAGACGAGGTCTTTCTCTACCTTCCCAGAGCCCATAGGCCACCTCCAACAGGAAGAATCCCCTTCATTGTTAATGCACTGTTTCTCCTCCTTAAATTCTGTACATACACATTTATCTATTTACATGCTTTATTCTAGGTAGAATGTAAGCTTCTGGAAGGCAAGGGCCAGTTTTGGTTCTGTTTTGGTATTCCCAGTATTTAGGAAAGCATCTTGTACACAGCAGGGATTTAATAAATGCTTATTGGATTGTATTGGATATTATCATGCTGGTTGCACCATGCCTCAGAATGTTGCAGTGCCTTCTAAGCCAGATGCATAACCGTTTGGAAGAATTTGGACTGATTGTTCACACCAGAAAAACTACGTGGATGAAAGATGCCTTTAAAAAAGCACAGCTAAAAGCAATAGCATTTACTAAAATGGTCCAGTAAAAACAGAAGCTACAAAACATTCCCACCATACACCTAGGGCACGTGCTTCCCCAGATACACCCAGCAGCCATGAGAAGAGTGGGCATGAGCTTGGGGTATAATAAGAGAGAGGCACACAGAGAGGGAGCCCCTGTGGCCAAGGCGACTCACCCCTCTGGCAACGTGGCCCCTCACCACCCTTCCAGATATCCCACCGGCCACAGACTGCATGCCTCCTGAGGGCCTTGCTCACCGGGACTTCCACGGGCTGCTCCTCTTTGACAGACTCTTTATTGGCAGGACTAGTTCTCCCAACTCTTTCCTCGGCTGCTTGGGGTCACACTCCTCGAAGCCGACCTCTGACTCAAGCCACTGCTCCTCCATCCCTCTGTGTCAATCTGAAGAGTGTGTGTCCACACTCCTTGATAGATGTGGGGGTTTCCTATCGAGTCAGCATTTCCACTACAGTGCACAGTATCTGATAAAATTGTCAAGGGTAGAAAGGTGTGCTTTATCCCTCTTATTGAGCAGGAGGGAAATCCCCAAAGCCTTCTGGAATAGGCAAAGGGCTCACCCTCCACAAAACTACTCCCAACCCAGACTGACAGCAGAGTCCCAATGTCCTTGGTGGGGGTACTGTATCTAAGCAGGTTCCAGCGTGCTTCACTTTACCCCCTAGGCAGAGGAAGACCAAACCAAACTGTAAGGGCACTCCATTAGCACACATATTTGGAGTAGAAACTGAATGACAAGATGAGTCCAGAACTGAACAGCACAAGCATGGAAGGCTAAATAGCCTTTGGGAAACTGTCCAGTTCTTTTAGTGACGCAAAGATTCTGCCAGAAGCAAAGGCCCATCTTTTGGTAGTGCTGGTATTCTTCTGGTGGTGTCCTTTGGCTAGAAGTCATGGAATAATGCCGCCATCTTCAAACAAGGGAAGCTGAGAACCATTCAAAGGGCAATGGAAAACCATATGGTGGTGGACCGGAGCCTGTCGGAAAAATGATGGGTCCAGGGAGCTTGCAGGAGAGCCCACGTGCTCCGTGGACATCCAGACAATGATGAGGGAATGTAAAGAAGACTCTAAGCTCATTGGGAGACTGCCTCTAGCACTTTGATGGAAGGATGCAGATGGGAAGGCCACAACCTCCATCTTTAGAGGGAGCTCCCACGTCAATGAGAATGTCGATTCATGATGAAGCTTAGACCAGAAGAGTAATAAGGAAGAGGAGGAGGAGGAGGAGGAGTGGCTCACAGTCTCACAATCACTTATGTACTCGCAAAGCGTTTCCCCCACAAGAACCTGATGAGACAGGTAGGTGGTGCAAAGATTAACTTCACCCTTTCCCTAGTGATAGCTAGTGGGTGCTAGGTATAGATTGGGTGGATCTGCAGGCACTATAAGCAGCCACATCTAGCTCCTTCACCTGCTTTCTGCACTCTACTGTCAATTAATCCATCAGAGAGGGAGTGTAGTATGTGTTCTGGCTACCAGGCTATACTGTCCCTAAGCTGCCGGCACGTGTCAAACCTCTGCCTCAATCGGCCAGCTCTTCAAAAACACCACCCTCCACTGCCCTGCCTCTCTAGGGCTTCTGGTGTGCCGATGCCAGTCCTGGGCTCAAAACAGATCTACGAGTATGATCTAGAACACTGGTCTTCGGTGGGGGGGGGGGGGTTGCCTCTCCAAGATGGCCAATGATGGGTTTATTTCCAGCATCACTACACCCCTCCTTTCAGACATTTATTCTTCAAGACACCTCCATCTCCTGCTCTTCCAGCCATCCCTCGGCATTAGCCTTTGGACCCAGTTGTAGGCTGAAGCAGCTTGCTGGACTCACAGCCTTATGGCTTACTTAGCATGTGAGCTCTGAGCTGGAGAGCTGGAGGGTCTTGCCACTGACTGGCTCATTTTTTGTGAGACAAAGTGAGCTTCCCAGGATGGGTTGTGGTTTGTATTGCAGATCTCCAATGTCCTCTTTTCCCAAAAAAAACCCCAGCCCTCCACCCTACTTCCCTATATCTGTCAAGGAACTCGTGGTGCTTCTGATCACACTGGGTTGTGTGACCTCAGGATCACCCTAGAAGCCTCCTCTCCCTCAACCCACACATGCAGTCAGTTACCAAAATTTGTTTCTCCCTAATATCTGCCACCCCTGTCCCTTTCTCTCTGCTCACACTGTCCATCCTCAGCACAGCTGCCCAAATGATATTCTGAAATCAAACAGCTGGCTGGATGTCACTCCTCTCCTCAATAAATTCCAATGGCATCCTGTGGACTGTGGGGTCAAATAATATTTCATCTTTATCTTATCCTTTTTATGACTTCTGTTTTTGTCCAAGCTTTATGACCTGCATAATTATTAAAAGCTGTAGCATATGTACCTAATTTATAAATAAAGAAATAAACAAATAGACTTATGCTGGAAGTGCCTGCTTACAATTTTTTTAACTGATAAGGGTGCATAGCAAAGTTTGGAGGCCGATTATCTATCTGAAGTCGCTCTCTCACTGCAGCCCTCCCCACCCCCAATCCAGGCAATTGACTCTCATTGACCAAACTCATTCATAAAATAGAGCCTATTGACTTTTTAGTGGCCACATGATTTATTAAGACAGCAAAGCTTCGGCATAACAAGGTTATAAAGAAACAGCTTCATGCAATCACCACTCATCCTCCCCACCTTTCCCCAAGTGGAAAATCTGGTGTGTTGTCCATGTTCCCTGAGCGGTGGAAGGATGAGGGGCAGGCGTGATGTGTCTGGATCCCCTTTTCAGAGGTCATGGACCTCAAACTTAGGAAGGGGGTTTGGTCCTCCTGTGTCCGATAATCCTGCTGTCCAAAGCAGCTAGCCCAACCCCCAGAATACAGCTGTGCTGGCCATGCTGCCAGTCCCACTGTCCAGAATACTCTGCAAAATGATGAAGACAGGGAGGCTCTGCTCCCTGCCCTGGAGTCCCCGCCCTCTGACTCTCCTGGAGGGGGAGGAAAGGAAGAGCATAGTGGGCATTTCTCTCTGGGCAAAGCTCACAGGAGCAGTGCAGAGACAGGGCTGACCCGAGCCATGGTTGCCCTCCTGGCTTCAGATTGAGCTCGATCCTGCTCTTGAAATCACTCCCCAGGGTTCCTTGTAGATTTCATTACCCACAGGTAAGGAGATTGAGTCTCAGAACTTGCTCATGTTCACACATTGAGTAATTGTATCCTATTCAGCAAACATTAAGTTCCTACTGTGTGCAAGACCTCATGCTCAGTATGCAAAGGCAAAATGAAACAGGCCCTGCCTTCTAAAAGCTTATGTTCTCGTAGGGGCACATAATACGGACATGGCAAATCCAAGTCAATTTAATGAGATCAGCAGAAGCTTTAGAAGCAGAACAGAACCTGAAAGAAGCTCCCAATTCTAAGAGGTAAAGAATAGTGATTAACACTCAAAGGAAAGCAACACGGTGTCTGGATGGGTAGGGTGGAGGCAGATTGGTTGCAGAGGCTTTAAACATTGGGCCATGGAGGCAACAGGGAGTTATGGAAGACTGTGGTGCAGGGAAGTTACATGATGAGATCTGTGACTTCGGCATCTATGTAGAGCGTAGACTGGAGAGGGGAGAGACTGAAGTGAGAACTGAGCTGGGATGCCATTGCAATATCCAGGTGACAGGTGCTGAGGGCTTGGCCAGGTGGTGGCTGGATGGAGAGAGAAGGGAACAGGTGCAGGAGATGTGGAGGAAGAACTGACAATAAATTGGATATGGGGGGGGTAGGGAGTGGAGTAGAAGAAGAATTGAGGAAGCTGTGAAGCCAGGTGCCTGGAAGAGGGCGGAACCACGCCAGAACAAGGGCGCTTGGGAGGAGTGTAGATGAGGACACGGGGAGCTTGAGACATCAGGGACAGGAGCATCCAGGTGCACATGTCTGGCAGCCGGTTAGTAATGTGGGACCTGGAGTTTAGGAGAGAGAAGCTCTGTGTGTGTGTGTGTGTGTGTGTGTGTGTGTGTGTGTGTAACACATCATATGTAGTATATATAAGATGCCCTACGTACACATACGTGCAACGTGTACAGCTGCCTTATCTCTGAAGGACTTTCTGTGCCCCCTATGCCAGGCACCTTCTCCTTCTCCCCCTCCCCCCACTTCTGTTTGTATTTCCAGCGCTGAACCCAGTGTCTGGCACATCGGAAGTGCTTAATAAAGGCTTGTTGCCGACTGACTGTCTCAGACTGGGGAGAGATTATCCAGGTCAGAGGAGAATCAGGAGAGAACGATGTCAGAGGAGCTGAGGAAAGGAACTGGTCCTCCCCAAAGGGTGGGTTCTCAACACGTATGTAAGTCACATGTATACACGTGTGTAAGTATGTGTGGATGCATTGTGCGTATGTAATCAAGTACTGCTGGTGACGAAGAAAAGACCCTCAGACTTAGCGGTGAAGACATAGTCGTTCTTACGGAGATTGGTTTCAGGTGAGTAGGAGAGCAAGAAGCTGGGGTGTTGGCTGTATTCAGGGCAGACTAGTATCTTTTGGTGTGAGGGCAGCTGGGCCCTTTCCAGGGCTGCTTTCCACCTTCAGGGTCCGCCTGCCACCCAGCTCTCACCTGGGCTTCCAAGAAGCCACAGCGTGCACAGCAGCCTCACCTTGGTAAACTATTTCGGTAGATGGGCTAAACCAGGTTGAGGGCAACTGAGGAGTCTCAAAACGTTCAGTGAATTAGGGGGATGTCTACCCCAAGCATGGGAATATTTCCCCCAGAGGAATGGGCAGATGAGAACAATTTGTTCTAACGGCCATGAAGGCTGCTGAAGCAGGCACCATGGGGCTCTGAGAGCTTGGTCAGACATGAGGATGCCAAGGTGATCCACTATGTCCTGAGCCATCACCAGTTGTCTTGACTTGGTCTTGCCACTGGATTCCGATGACTCTGGAAGAGAGTCGAGCAACTCAGCCTTATTTAAATCCAGTTAATTTGAGAATCAAAAGATGTCACCCATACCACTTTGCCTTTTTTATTTACCTGAAAATCCTGCGGCAACAGGGGAGTGACAAAGCATCAGTTTCATGAAAGTATGCTTGCCTAGAGTCTGGATAATGGACGATTCTTTCACACTTTTCCAGTCACCAATGGAGTGAAGCAAGGCTGTGTGTTTGCTCCCATGTTTTTTTTTAAATTAGTTTATTTGTTTTTAGTTTTCAACATTCACTTTCATAAGATTTTGAGTTTTAAATTTTCTCCCCCTCCCTCCCCTTCTTCCACCCCAAGATGGTGTACAATCTGATATAGGTTCTACATGTACATTCATATTAAACATATTTTCACATTAGTCATGTTGTAAAGAAGAATTAGAACCAATGGGAGGAACCACAAGAAAGGAGAAACAAAACAAAACTAAAAATAGTGAGCAAATAGTCTGCTTCGATTTGCATTCAGACTCCACAGTTCTTTCTCTGGATGTGGATAGCATTTTCTATCATGAGTCTTTTGCAGTTGTCTTAGATTCTTACACTGCTAAGAAAAGCTAAGTCTATCAAAGTTAGTCATCGCACAATGTGGCTATTACTGTGTACAATGTTCTCCTGGTTCTGCTCACTTCACTCAGCATCAGTTCATATAAGTCTTTCCAGGTTTTTCTGAAGTCTGCCTGCTCATCATTTCTTATAACACAATAGTATTCCATTATATTCATATACCACAACTTATTTAGTCATTCCCCAATTCATGGGCATCCCCTCAATTTCCAATTCCTTGCCACCACAAAAAGAACAGCTATAAATTTTTTTTGTACATGTTGGTCCTTTTCCCATTTTTATGATCTCTTTGAGATACAGTCCTAGAAGTGCTATTGCTGGGTCAAAGGCTATGCACAATTTTATAGCCCTTTGGGCATAGTTCCAAATTGCTGTCCAAGAATGGTTGGATCAGTTCACAACTCCACCAACAATGCATTAGTGTCCCAATTTTCCCACATCTTCTCTAACATATATCATTAATTGCAATACTACATAAATGATTTGGGGAAATAGGCAAAGGAGTCCTACCAAATTCTTTTTATGATACAAATATGGTGCTATAACTAAACCAGGAAGAGCCGAAACAGAGAAAGAAAATTGTAGACCAATTTCCTTAATGAATACAGATGCAAATAAATAAAATTTAAATAAAATATTGGCAAAGAGATTATAGTAACTTATCTCCATGATAATACACTATGACCAAATAGGGTTTATACTAGGAATGCAGGGCTGGTTCAATATTAGGAAAACTATCAGCATAATTGACCATATCAACAACAAAACTAACAGAAATCATATGATTATCCCAATAGATACAGAAAAAGCTTTTAACAAAACACAGCACCCATTCCTATTAAAAACACTAGTGAGCATAGGAATAAATGGAATCTTCCTTAAAATGATAAGTAGCATCTATCTGAAACCATCAGCAAGCTCCAATGCTTGATATTTTTAGCTGTGTTCTCAAACATCTTCAATGAGGCCAAAAATGGCATCAAGGTCAGCTACCGCACTGATACTAAATTATTTAACTTGAAAAGGCTACAAGACAAGACTAAAGTGGAGGGAGAGTTGGTGTGTGACTTTTTGTTTGCAGATGATTTCACACTCAATGGAGCCTCTGAGGCTGAGATGCAACAATGTTTGAGTCAGTTCTCT